GGGTTTAGGGTTTAGGGCAACCTTTGCAACATCGAACCCACGGAGCGTTTTCGTAGAACACCCTTCCAAATACCCGCCCGATTCAAGATGCCTTCGGGGTCGCAGGTGGTACTCCCGGCGAGACCCCTCCTGCGGCACGAAGATTGCCACTAAATATTCAGACCCCTTTTCTGCACCACACCCATCTCAGCACCGCAATCCCTCACTAAATCTCAGACCATTTCTCCAAAGCCAGGCTAATGTTCCAATGCATTAAACCTCGGGTCTTGTAGCGTTTAGGGTGTACCTTAACCCCAAAGAAGTTTTCCATTAGCATGCTTTCCCTACCTGCGCCCTGCAAGAAAGCTAGGACGCCCTCCGAAAGGCTAGGCCATTCGGGTGTACCGTGCCGGCTTTCATAAATCCTTCAGCAACGGTAGGTCGTAGAGGGTCCAGGCAGGCTTTGCCTAGCTACTGTTTGGGTTTGCCTAAATAAGGTCTAAAGTCTCCATGCTACCTCGTTTTTGGGGTAACCGGGCCTTATGGTGGGATGAATATAAACCTGGTAAACTCAACATAGGAACGACAGTGGGTTTAGAGTTTCAATCTCTGGCCCTCCATGCACATTTCATCTGCAGGCCCTCGGCTCTAAACTTACCTGCACCCCGCAAAACCGAGCCTAAACTCGGACTAGACCCGAAACTGTACAACCCCTAAAGGAGCAAGTAAGATTTCCTTCAATCTTCCGGATTGAAACCCCCTTCAGAAAGTCCGTCTTCGAGATATGAGTAAGCATGCATATACACACATATATATATATATGTGTATGTTTATACATACTCATGTTACATATATATATATATATGTAACATGTATATATTTACACAAATAGATATATATATATATATATACATACATATAAATTTTTATTTCTGCCTATTTGCTTGTTTAGCTAATTATGTATGTATGTATAGATAGATCGCTGGGTCCTCGTGGATTCGGAATGGGGCCGATTCGCCTTGGTGGCCTTCGAAGAAGAACTCGTTGCCCATGTGGTTCATCACCACGTCGACGATCACCTCCGGGAGTGTAGCGGTTATAACATGATTTAGCAGACATATTTTCTTATGACCACGTCGACGATCACCTCCAAGAACCGTAGCGGTTATATTCTTCATAGACGTAACTTTTTCTTTATAACCACGTCGACGATCACCTCCGGGAATCTGGTTCCCTGTTGGGACTATATTAAAAATGATCATTTTTAATCCTTTTTGGGTTGCATTGTAATAACAACAATGTAAAATCGTAGCCAACCAGGATCCGGGAACCGTAGCGGTTTGTGGTTTAGGGGCATTATCAGGTTGAGGGTTTCGCGCTCAGGTTTCAGGATTTTGGCGTTGAGGGTTTCTGCTTTGTGGTTTCGGAGGCTCGCTAAACCCCAGTATAGGGGTTGGAGTTGGGTTTGCAGATGTACGGCGTTTGGGATATGGGGCTTCCTAGCTTTAGGCTCAGAGTGGGGTTGTGGGGTACAGTATAGTATATAGTATAGTTCTGATAGAAACTCTGGAAAATCATACTACTAAATATTCCGATCCCCATTTTACAGTGCCAAGATTTTTTTCAAGCGCCTATCATTGCAATTTCATGAGGCCACAGAAACTCCGCAACCTAAAAAGCCCGCAAGCTTGTCACAGGTCAGCCCATATCCGCGTTTTTACAGAGTGGGACAGTGCTGATTAAACTTGTTTTTCCTGCGTGATCGTGCAGACTGCAACTTGAGCATCCCTAGCCCGAAACCATAGACAGGCGGCTCGACACACTCCACCCGACCATGCACCCAACACATTCATCTTCAAATGCCTGCACCCCCCAACACCTTTTCCTATACTATACTTTAAAGGACCCCAAAACCCTAATCTAGTTACTAAAGCCCTATATAAGAAGGCTCACACGCCCCAGTCGTCAATCCCCCAACCCTCTGATCCCTCTCACGGCCCGACGTGCTAAACGTTGGCAGGGGGAGGTCTGAAACGGCGATACGGCTGAGAGCCTTCTAATATAGGGGCCTTAATAATTAGAATAGGGTCTTGGGGTCCTTTATAGTATATTATTGAAACCCCTTTAAAATAATATAGGTGACTATTGAAGTTCTAAATTAGACAACGTTTCGAGTTATCTCACTGATGCGTGAGGAATTTAGCAAAGGTCTGGTGCGGACTTCAGCAATCTGTGGTGGGCTCCAACATCTGCACGCTCGGAACCTGTGCTGCTCAAACAACACACCCAGAGACCAGACCCTGAAAGCAACAGTTATCCTTTTTTGCTCGGTGCCCTAAGCCCGACAAGTATGCTCAGCCAAGCAACATACATCCCAAGCCGGTGTGCTGAATCTGCCAGCTGTCGCAGCTCATCCAAAGTTCCCAAGCGCCTTGAAGTGATCGCTTGCTGTGCTGCTAGTAGCTGACAGTCATGAGACAAGCAGTACATAGTCAGGAGAACTATAGCGAACCTACCGTGCTAACAGTAACACCGATAAGACGACGAATGGAAACCGTTGCATCGATAGCGAGAAGTGTAATACACGCTTGTAGATATTTGAGCAGTTCCCCAACCGCAAGTGAGACGTGGGGTCTTAGGGCCATATATATGTACACATACATATACACAGGTATAAATGTATATGTTTGTGTGTATATACATACACGCACATATATGATAATTTGAATGAATGTGTATATGTGTATACGTATGTGTATATATATATATATACATGTACAAAGGTCTATGTGCATACATATACATATATATGTACACGTTCATGTGTATATATAAGTATATGTATATAAGATGTGTGTACCATGGTTCCTTACAGTGACTCAAGTAGCAGAGGAATGTTCAGGGCTTGCGGTGCAGGGTTAAGGGCAGCTTGTACCCGGAAGTCGCTATACGCGTGTCTGTGTCTGTGTGCCAAATGGTCTTGAGATGACAGGAGTGCAACAAATCGTGGTGCTCTGATGCCTGTTGGTTCAGGGCTTACTGTAGCGATTGCAATCTCTCACCCCGACGCCCAAAATGAATCCTCACCTTGCCGAGTCACTGATCCAGGAGCGTGAAGTCTGTCTGCGAGTACTGGTGGTACGAATTAAACCCATTCCTTCGGACGAAGCTTTGCGGTGCTTTAGCTTCCCAGCGTCATCATCATCATCATCATCGTCATCATCATCATCATCACCGTGCTGCCCATCATCATACTCACTCAAGCGAATCTGCAGCGACTGGTGATTGACCACGACGTCAAGCAGATGTGGCTTGTCCCTGCCGCTCTAACTCAGTGTTCTTACAGAAACTGGCGCAACATGTGACCTCTGTGAATGAGGCGGAGAAGCTCGTTGATTCCGGTACATCTCATCTGCCATCCGCATTAGTCTTTGACAAACTGCTTTTGCCATGAAACCCTGAACCTACAAGGCCCTGGACTCTTGAACCCGAAACACAAACTGTGTGTTTAATAGCACTTTGGGTGCATATTACAGGAAACATTGAAAAGCTTCCTGTGAAAGCCAAGAAACATACCCCCAATACCGTTACTAATCATTCCCTAAGCCCCTATGTAACGCTTACAGAACCCTCAAAGATCCCGCTCCAGAACCCTAGAAGGGATCCTAGCACTAATCATCCTCAATCCATCTTCGATCTTTCTGGGGTTCGCTGTAATGCCTCCAGGGCTCTGGAAGATGGGTGAGATCCAAATGCCTTGGCAGCCCATGCCCTTGATGTAGGGCAGCTTCTGTGTCCTGAGCATCATGGGGTTTTAGGGCCACTTTTCCTGGAAGCGCTTTAGACAGTGCAAAGGCGAAGCCCTACTATAAGCCCTACTTGCTGGTGTTGAGAGGGCTTAGACCCTACAGCGCTTAAGGCTTTAAGCCTATAGGTTTTGGCCTTTAGAGTGTTGACGTCAATGCGGTATCTCGCGGGGTGCTGTAGGACTTCACTAGAGTCGGCTAATGTTCAAAAGGGGTTTAAGGTCACGTGCTCTTGTGTCCAAGTCCTGCAACCTTGAAATGGCCTCGGCCGAGGCAGGTGTCCGAAAGATTTCGCAGGTTTCTTGCCTTTTATTCAGAGCTTCTGTGCCCTGCGCATGCCTCAAATATACGTAACCCCTTGAAGTACCCTACATAGACCCTCTACATAGTAAGCCCTTGTAGTTGTCTGAACAGGCACATTAAATCAAACATCCTGATATTTTGCAACCCTCCTTATACAACCCTCATAGATGCCACAGTAAGAGTAAACCAGCGGAGCATACTGTTATAGTAACCAGTATCAAACTCTTCTTCTTGGGACCCTTCAGCGAACGTTGCGGTCCCGCGATGGCACGTTCTGTAAACTTTGCCGGCTGGCCCGACATGAACAGAATCGGGGTTTAGTTTGGGAGTTTAGGGTCTACGGTGCAGGGGATTAAAGTTTAAGGTTTAGGGTCTGGGGTCCAAGTTTGGGGGTTTAGGGTTTAGGGAAGCTCAGAGGACAACAGCAAGAAAACCCGCTGCCCAGCGGCAAAACTTTGTCTGAGGGTTCTTGGCTGCAGGTTTAAATATTTAACTGCGGCACTGCGGGGATTGAGTGCCAATCTACGGTTGAGGGTTAAGGGTTTGAGGTTTGGAGCAAGGACAGAACCTACAACACGAAACGGCCGTCATGTCCCTGTGTCCTGGAGCTACCGAACCCGAAAAATCAGGAAAGCAAGATCCCAAACCCATGGCCCAAAATAATATAGATACTTATTAAGTCCCCTTTTGGGAAAAGGCTTTCGAAGTCATTTGGGTCCAAAAGGCTAAGGCCTTCAATTCCAAAAAGCCCTGATCTAGGGTTTAAGGTTGAGGGTTTAAGATATGGACTCCGCATGTCAGACTAAGCTGGCCCACTCTGAGAATCTTAATGGAATAAGGTCTCCGAGTATGATTTCCTGCTTGTCCAGTATCCTACGGGAACGAAAGCTTTTTCTTTAAGGTTATTTAGGGACTATATTATGCCAACAAAGTTAAAGGCGATGTTAAAGGATATTTACCCCGCCACAAAATTTTGGATGTCAATGCAAAGGGACTCGAAGGGGCACTATTACACATTATTTCAGGCCCTAAAAAATCTCAAGCTCATACACAACTTATCGGTTTTTCTTGAACTAGACTCATTTTCGGTTCTGTAGCTTTGATTTCATGGTGTCCGGAACCCTTAACCCTCAACCCTTAAACCCTCAACTGTGAAGCCCATAACTCTGACTTCACAGCAAAGCGCAGGCCCAAGAAGTCCCCGCCGTGTCTATACCTTCGCGCGGCTCGAGAGGCTGGGAGTTCATAAACGTGAAGAGAAAGGTTACTATCGCCTGGTTCTATAAGAGGTTCCTTTGAAGGGATACTATGGGAGCTATTATAAGTATTCTGTATAGGGCCCCAGATAGAGTTTTAGGAGTTCGGGGTCTGGTGTCTTGCATGCAGCCTGGGCTCCGCAGCCTAGTAGGGGCCTGAAAAACCATAGTATGGTTTTGGGGTTTAGGGTTTTGGTTGTATCATGAACCTTTAAAACTACAGCGAGGAAGCCTACGCAATGGTCTTATACTAGGTGTCCCGCTTCTATATTCAACATCTGACCCGGGCCTGCTTGACCTGCAACCCATTCTCCAGCCCTTATGCCATGCATGATCACGACGAAGCTTGCAAATTACCCGAAAAGTCCAACCAGCAATCCTAACCAAGTTGGACACCGAAAACCCTATACAACCCTACAGAGACACCTTCATAGACATAGTGGACCTTTTTTAAGGATTAAGTGGAAGAACCCTTATGGAACCCTTCGGATCTCCATGGGATATAGGTTTTTTCCACAAGCCACACATGTTTGAACTATGTGTGAGTTTCTCAAATCGCTCAAGACCTGATTTTCCCCCGACATTCGGGCATGCCGAGGTCAGGACACTCCACCCATGGCTACAGCAAGCAGACCCCCATCGTCAGAAACCTAACTCACGGAAGGTGAGCAACAGCCTCCAGGAGGGAGGCCCACATCCAAGAAGCCACGAGGAGCAGAACACAGCTACATTCAGAAAGGTACGAGAAGACTCCGCCATCAATCGCAGAGCAGCTAACGTGTCTAGACAGTTAAACACTTTGCGTGACAATGAGCGCGTCGATTCGACGCGCCGCCAAAGCCGCGTCGTCCGGCATGTCGAGGGCGATGGGCAGCACCGCCTGCCCCGACCGGCGCACGCTTTGATTGAAGACTTGGCTCTCAAAAATTGTGACTTAGACAGACTTGATGAGGCATGGACATTCGGCTCGTGCAGCGGCTGCCAGCCGGGAACCCAGCGCATGCCGCCGGGATGTCAAGGGCTTTGACAGGCTCCGCTGACGCTCCTGGCGATGGAGTTCCGGAGAGATCTCACCTGCACTGCAGAGCTCCACACCCGATCATGACCTTCGGCTGCACAGCTTGGCAAAAGATTACAACGAGCGTGGAGCGTCTGCGTGCTCTGCATGCGGCCCTTGGCGACAACCCCCACTCTCCGGCTGCGGTCAACAGTAATATCTTTTCCGGCTTGATGTCTCCATGGATGACTTGGAGCCTCGTGCCGGCACTGTATCCCAAGGCAAAGGTGGCATCGCTTGCATATGTGGGGGGGCGCCCTGTCATTTCACTGCGCAAATGCGGCTACTAGTTCCCACCTCATGTTTCCCAAGCCTCTAGTCTACACAGACACTCTGGCCAATCCCTTGCCTATGACGTTAGGATGTCAGGTGAAGAAAGCCCTGAAGGTTTAGGCGTCTGCCGGCCGCAGACCGGGCGCAGGCTCAACCCACAGCTCCCGCAAGCAGTCCAGAATGGAAAAATGCAGAGGAAAAGCCTGAGGTTGAATCCTGGGATTTAGGGAGTATTCGGGGCTTCGGCTTCTGCACTTGATGGGTGTGCTTCCAGCCGCAGCTTGGGGCTTGGCAAGATTTTCGGCCTTCGCAAGCCCCTCGAAGACCTAGATTGGATGTAGGGCTCAGGTCTTCGGGCCTTTTTGGTCTAGGATTCATTGATCTGTGGGCTCAGGGCTCGAAGTGCGCCAGATCATTTGGCCGCAAGCCTTGCCAAGACGACTCGAACAGTTGCATTGGCAAGCAAACCTAGCACATCCGCAGGTCACAGAACATGAACTTCGTGCTTCGAAACGTCGTGCCGAGCCACAAGCCCTGAAAAAAGATGTTGGGCGCCGAGCCCAACAGCTGTCGAACCAAAAATGCAGAAAGGAGATGTTGGCTTCCGAACCCCAAACCCAAAAGAGATATTGGTTGAGAAGCCCAAAACCCGACATGTCGGTTCAGAAACACAAAACTCCAAAATATGATGTTGGTTGAGAAACCCAAAGCCTTCAATGGCCACGCGACCCAGTGCTGCGAAGCCGCGTGAAAATAGCAAGATGACTGTGCCCGACTAGCCGAGCCGGCGTGACAAGATTCAGGCTTGGTTCGAATTCAGGCAGTGATAGGGTTCAGGCTTTCCGCGTGACAAAGTTTGGGGCTTTTTGTGCCTACCTGCCTACGTGACCTGCAAAGCTAAGCTGGTTTCTAAGTTCTGCGAGCTTCGAGGGTACAAGCCAGAATCTTCTGCTCACGCCTCACTCAGACCCGCCAGATTGGGGGGCTTTTGCACGCAGAGCTCGAAACCTTGATTCACTGAGCCCCCAAAGCTCATACCTTTGGCCCAAATAAAACACTAAGCCCTCAGCTGCAAACCCCAATCCCGACACCCTAATTATGCACCCTGCATCCGACGGCACCCGAATGAAGGACGACCCGTCAACACTCAGGCTGACGCTCTGCATACTCTGCGGAGTCA